GGTGGTGGAATGCGTCGATTTCGTCGTTTCGTAAGGCAGTGAATGTGTCGTCAACGTTACGTAACCAAAGCGGTATCGTTTGTCGGCAAGTCGAAAGGGCGCGTTCCTCGATGTTCTGCATCACAATTTCTGCTATAACAACAGAAACTGGAGACCCCATGGCAGTGCCGTGTAACTGTTTGTAGTGTTTACCGTTGTACTGAAAGTAAGTAGACGTTAGGCAAATGTTTAGCAAGTCCATAATGTCGTCTGTCGGTAGCGGTAGTGGGTCGGTAGATTGTCGGATTGCAGTCTCAGTGCATTGTAATGCCAATTGAAGTGGAATACTTGTGAACAGTGATTTCACATCAAATGACACTAGTTTGTAGTCGTCAGGTATCTGAACAGTCTTGGTAGCGTTAATGAAGTCTTCAGTGGATTGTAGTTTATGTCTGGATTTGTCGGTTAGCGGTTGTAGTATTGTCGTCAGGTACTTGGATAGTTGGTATGTGGGAGAGCCACAGAAAGAAACAATAGGTCGCATCGGGAAACCAGGTTTGTGTAGTTTCGGCAAACCGTAGAGTTTCGGTGGCTGTGGTACCGAGCACCTCAGTCGATAGTACCGTTGGTTGTCAAAGGCATTCGTTTTCTTGAGTGTCAGTAGTTTACTGTTGAGTTTACGTTGAAGTGCAGGAGTTGGGTCATGTTTGAGTTCTTCGTAGGTTCGTTTGTCGTTAACTAGTGTGTCCATTTTGTCGTGATAGTCAGTTTTGTCCATGACAACAGTAACTCGTCCTCTGTCAGCTGGTAGGATGACTATGTTCTTGTCGTTTCTCAGTCGTTTCAGTGCGCGTTGTTCATCTTTAGTCAAGTTGCTGTCATATAGTGACGTTGATTGTATAGTGGAGGCAATTCTGCTTCAATCTGATGTTATCCTTGGTCGGCTTAGATATGTTAAATGTTATGCAGAGAGTTGTATCATAGTTTAAAATGAATTTCAAGTCAAAGGATTTCACTAGTTTCAATTTATTTGATTTTTATTTTATTTTTCTTGTCACATTATAGTTTTTTAACACACAAAAATAGAAATTAGACTATTTCATCCTAACCCCAGCTTGGATAGCTATTAAAATAGAGTGTGCCAGTGGTTGATAGAAGCCTTCTTTCATTTCAATACACCTGAAAAGGTGCACAAGGTGGTTACCACTGTTATCAGGGCTTGACACTAACTTTTTAACTTACTAGCCAATTGGCTCGTGACATCTTAGAAGTTATGACAATTTCAGTTTGTTTACTAGCCAAACTGGCTAGTCAAAATCGAAAAACCACTAGCCAAAACTGAATTTCTATGAGTCTGTGGCTAGTGGGCTACCGTTAGTGTTGAGCCCTAGTTATTCATTTTGTTGCTGTTTTTGTAAAGGTCAGTTAAGGTTATGATGGCAGAATCTCCTTTGACATCTGTTGATTTTATGTCTGACGGAGGAACATTGGCAGTAGGTTCAACTAGAGGTACAATACTGTTGTTTTTTCAATTTTTTTGTTAGTCACTTGTATTTACTTGCATTGTTTTGGCCCACATTCACCCTTTATCTCCCCATTCTGATTAAGATGTTACTTCCCCCCAATACTGTCCACTTATTATCTAGCAAACAAGAAATGAGAATACTCAGACTTATCAGGTAGAAAATGTTATCTCAATCTAACACCAAATGCTTGTAACTAATTTTCAAGGAAATGTCAGCAGCCTGACAGGAGAATTAACAATCATATCTTAGGAATTGAAAGGTTATAAGCACTGTGCAAAGTTCAGAATGACCTTTACTTCTTGTTCATGCCCTTAAAATTACCCCAAGGGAGCTTTATATAATTATGCAAGCTATGATCTAGTTATTAGAGGGGTTAAAATAAGGATAACTCTGGAAGAAAATGAGAATCTGTTGGTATTGATGTAAGTTTCATACTTTTAGATAGATAGATAGATTGATTGATTGATTGATTTAATCTACACTTTTGCAAGCAGAGCTGAATTACAGTGCATGTCAGAAAATTATACACTCAATGTAACAGATATAAATAACACTTGCCTGTACTTTTTCCAGTACCAGTATGTTAACACAGTAAGTTGTAGAAAAGTTCAAGGTTGACTTTAATATTTGATCTTGTTTTGATCTAAAGGTAAAATCGACATCTATGACCTGCGTAGTGGATCCAGTCCAGTCAACACAAGAGTGGCACACAAAACATCAGTTCAATCACTTTCATTCCAGTCATCAATTAAGGTGAGGAAAGCTAATCCTATTTTTACTCAGCCATGGTTTCATATTTTCCAGCTCTAAAAAGGAATTGGCATTTGTCATAAACTATTAATAATCTACTGTTTGAATAGAAACCGGAGTTAAGCACCAGGCTGATGGGCCACTTGGCTTGTAAACAGACTTTACCTTTTACTCTTTGAATGACTTTTCAAGTAGAGGGTGAATCTAAAATAAAGGCAGTGGACTGGAAATTTAGGAAGGGCTTTGTTAAAAATGTCAAACTCGTAAATTCCTCTGAATTCAGTTTGGTTGGAACCGCTTTCTGTCAAGAGCAGTTTGTTTCTTATAGGAAATTTGTGGTGGTTTAATGTCTGTTTGTACACAGTCATGGGTAGCAACTTACACATGCCAACTTGGATGGGGGTAAAGCTAGGCTGGGGATTAAATTGGGCAGGTGGTGGTAGTTGTAGCATGAAAGCACTCAAATTGCTGCAAGCAAACTACGGTATGTGGCAGTGAAATTGAATCTGAAATTACTAATTAAAACTGAAGTCTAGCAAAGCCACTTGTCCCTTTAGTATACTTGTCACCATTCTCAAAATTTTATCCAAAATTGTATCCAAGCCTCTAGAGGTTTTGTTCAATGCCTCCTTTGAGACCGGTATAGTGCCAGACAATTTGAAATTAGCAAAAAGTTTTTTCATCTCCTTGCTGTCTGTTTTTAATAAATTGCTTGAAAAACATATGTGCAATAGATTAGTTGATTTCCTTGAAAATAAAAAAGTGTTTTTTAATAATCAATTTGGTTTTAGGGCAAAGCACTCCACTGATCATGCTATCCTTAGTATTGTTGAGAGAATTCAAAGGGCAATTGATGATAGGGATTTTTCTTGTGGTATAATTTATTTTTAGATTTAAGTAAGGCATTTGATACCATAAATCATGAGATATTGTTAAGAAAGCTAGAGTTCTATGGCATACATGGGATTGCAATCCAGTGGTTTAGTTCATATCTTGCAAATCGTTTGCAAACAATCACCATAAATGGTATAACTTCTACCTCTGTCAATATTTCATGTGGTGTTCCTCAGGGGTCAGTCCTTGGACCAATTCTCTTCTGTAATTATATATTTAATGACTTTCACCATTGCTCTAAATTTTTTGATTTCCGTTTATTTGCTGATGATACTAATTTATTTTGCAAACATAAAAATCTCACTTCTCTACAGGCAAGTATTAATAATGAACTCTCCAATGTTAATTCCTGGCTTTGTGCAAATAAACTTTCTCTCAATATAGCAAAAACTAGTTTTGTAATTTTTCATCCTCCTCAAAGGAAAGTAACATTCAACTCCAACTTAACTTTAAATGGGAAACAGTTGCAACAGGATTCCTGTATTTAATACTTAGGAATTTTAATTGATACAAATTTATCCTGGAAACCTCAAATCGCGAGTATTGTAAAGAAAATTAAAAGAAGTGTAGGGATCTTGTTATATTTAATATTGATATTCTTACTAATCTCTACTACTCTTTAATCCATGCACCCATTTCTGATTTATGACATAATTATCTGGGGTAATACATATTCAACTACACTTCAGCCTTTATACATTTTACAGAAAAAAGCAGTGCAAATCATGACTTTTTCTTCATTTGATGAACATTCAACTCCGCTGTTTAGATTGTTGGCAATTATGAAGCTCTCTGATCTTGTTACATTTCATATTGCACTTTTTATGCATAAATTTCATAACAAGTTATTACCTTCCTATTTTAGTAGTTCTTTAATTTAGTACTTTACCTTGGCCGGTATGGACAAATTACGTATGTTATTTAGGCAAAACACATGCAAACTTAATAATTTGCGGACAAACTTAACAGAAAGCCAGCAAACTTAATAAAATGCACGCAAACTGTAAAAAATGCTAACAAACTTGATAAAGGACATGCAAACTTAACAAAATGCGTACAAACTTAATAATGGACATGCAAACTTAACAAAATACGTACAAACTTAATAATGGACATGAAAACTTAACAAAATGCGTACAAACTTTATGACAGGCACGCAAACTTTAAGAATAGAATGCAACTTTAAAGTGAAACACATACAAACCAAAAATGAGTTTGCGTGTCTCATTTTAAGTTTGTGTTTTTAATTTTAACTTTGTACACTTTTCATTTTTAGTTTGAATGCGTTTCATTTTAACTTTGTGTGCTATTTTTAAAGTTTACTTGCCTGTCCTAAAATTTGTACACATTTTGCTAAGTTTGTACGCATTTTGTTAAGTTTGCATGTCCATTATTAAGTTTGTACGCATTTTGTTAAGTTTGCATGTCCTTTATTAAGTTTGT